CGCCACTGCATGATGTGAGAGAGGACATATGTCTGTGAGTGTGTGTGTGTGTGTGTGTGTGTGTGTGTGTGTGTGTGTGTGTGTGTGTGATAGAAGGCACGGAGGGTGGTGTGGGAGGCTCAGTCTCTCAGGTCCATACTGGAGCCGAACAGGGCAACCAGCTGCTCCTCATAGTGGGCGATGTTCCTCTTCATGATCTCCTTACAGGAGCCCAGGAGGCGCTCAAACGCCTGCACGTCTATTACTGCACAGAAAGAGAAAGAGAAAGAGAGAGAGAGAGAGAGAGAGAGAGATCTCAGATTCTCAAACAAGCCACTGGTCTCATTGTTGTTGGTTTTAACAACAACAAGTTAGGTGGACATTCCCGGTCTCATCTTAAATGTCCTTACAAGGCCCCAGAGGACCTTTTACAGCAGTAACAGAAAAGGAAAAACATTTTTCTCTGCTTCAAAGCCGAGCAGCTGCTCTATACGGGCTGTTGTACTGTTAGTACAGTCAATAGAAAGTACACTGAGAGACAAGACAGGTGAGGCGGTGTGCATGGTTAATATTGAAGGGGAGGAGAACATAGGACAAAGAGAGTGACTGACACTACACCTACTATGAAAAAATAGCAGAGAGGAGCGGCTGTTAAAAATCCTGTGTTCATTTTTTAAAAGTGAAGAGCTGCTCGTCTCACTGTAGAGCCGGAATTAGTGCACCCACATTAAAAGCTAAATAATTACTGAGCAGCCTTTAAAATCACAAAAAAATACAAGGTGTTGGCAGGCGAGATGAAGAGGACTCAAATGCCACTCGATATCTCATGACAAACTGCTTCCAACGGTTCAATTAGTGGAACATTAATACCACAGACATTTTTGTCAGGTTGAGTGGTTTAAATATTGCTTATTAACTTGTTTTTAATTTCACATAAAGTTTGAACTATATACTGGTCGTTTATTGACTTTTTGAAACTATAGCTTCATAAAGAACTGAGTGAGCAACCTCATCGAGAATGAACTGGCTGAAAGAAACACAGAACAAAAACTTATGTCATACAACAATTTGAAACATTATATAATGACATAAAAACGTTTGCGTAGGTGTTTTAGATGCAGGTGTCCCATTCCTTAACATTGGTGGAAACCTATGTTAAAACAAAGCTACCTCACACATTATCGTTGTTCACATCAGTGCTGACAAATGCGTTTAATGAGTGTGCCGGGAGTGTATTTCGTCTTACCCAAAAGCTTGACATCGCCCACTGCGTAGACTGAGGCGGCCCGGGGCTTGTTAGTGACCAAGGCCAGCTCCCCAAAGTAATGACCCCTGCTACAGCGCGTTATCTCCACCTCCGCATTGTCTGCATGGTCTGCCTTTGTCTGCAGGGAGGAGAGGAGAGGAGAGGAGAGGAGAAGAGAGGAGAGATTAAAAGGTTAGGAACCATTGAGGACCTCTTTTTCTTTTTCTCCCCCCAACGAGAAGCACTCAGCGGCTGAGCAGACAATTGTGATTCCCGCTGTTGCTAAGCAAAACCAGGAAACACTTTTGCACTCTGGTGGTTTTTACTGGGGAGTGTGGGTTGTCATTGTCTAAATGTTCTACACAGAGAGTACCTGGTAGAAGAATATAATCAGCTTCTATATGGGTGCATATTCCTGGCACCATTGAAGGTGGTTTTTTTTGAATATTTATCAGCCTCTCAGAGTGGCTGAACCTTTTGTGCCTTTCATTTATGTGATCTGGCCTTTTCTTTTAACCAACGTTTTGGTTCTTACATTACAGCTGAACTGATATAAAAGTGACTGCTGGAAACAGAGCACAACTGACGGAGTAAAATGTATTCACCTACATGGGTCTGGGAGTGAGATAAATTCAGCCTCACAGTAAAATCCTTATGATCCTTTTATGTATTTAGAATTTAAAGTACCTTCTCGCTCAGTGTTCCTGCAGTGTGAAACACTAGCCAACATTAGCTTTTAAACGCCGGATACCCACCACAACAGGGTCCAACACGTAGTCCAAAGTCAGAGCTAGCATAACTGCAAAGCTTGTGATATACATTGTGGTTATGCGGTTTTCGCTGGGTAATGTTAGCTTGCTTGCTAAAGCGGACGAATTGCTAGCTAGCTATCGTAGTCACAGATAGAATCTTTAAATTAAAATGCAGAGTGGTGAAATATAGAAATAAAGAAGGTGAGGACGAGTATCTTACTTTACTCTTCATCATGATCTTGACCTCCCCAGATTCTACAACATAGAAGCAGTCAGCCTTCTCTCCCTGAGGGAAAAAAAAACAAAAAACAGTAAATACCTTTAAAAGCAGTTCTGTGCGATGTATGAAACCATATCAGTATTTCCATGTCTTACCTGTGTGATGATGCGCTCACCATCTGAGAACTGTTTGGCTCCTAATACATCCACTATCTTCATCCTCTCTGTTGCCTGGACAGAAAATGGGGTGGGCAGGGAGGTTAAGAGAAATAATGAGAGAAACAGTGGGAGCAGAGGTAATTATTTCACTGACAATGCTTGCAGATTATAGCCATGTAAACTCCTTTTATGCCAGGCTTTCCTCTGTTAGTCCATTCATCCTCGCTACTGTGCTTGGCAATTCATTACACTTTTGTGTTCTGTAAATTTTAAGCATAGTGGTGCAAAAAAGTGTAGTAGCATGTTTGGCCAAACAAAATATTTTTAGCTACCAATTGAACTAAATATATAGCTTTTTAGTGAATGCAGAACAGAACTTTTTGCATCATAAATTAGCTGGTGTGCTGCTGTTAGTTAGGTGGCTAGCTTCACAGGTGATGCTGCTGCATCTACTGTTTAGTGGGACACTGAAAAAGACTACACTGAAGGAGAGGGGGGAGGGAAAGAGCAAAAAATGTCAGAAGAGAGAGGATTTTCTAAAAGCCTACAACTACTAAACTTACCTCCAGTGATTTGAGTAGGGGCACAGACTCAATGAAACACTCGTACATCCTCCTCTTCTTGGCGTTGTTCTTCACAATGAGTCTACGAAATGTGGCGCGGTCCTAGGGAATACAAACTCGAGTAAACAAACACCTCCTGAAGGCAGATTCTCTGAGACTGAGTGACCGTTGCCAGTCCTCCTCTGCTCGGCCACAGGGAGGAGCTGCAGCGACATAAAGCATCAGAGCAGAGCACCGGCTCCATTCATAGATAACACAACTCCATTCTTAACATGTACTGTATTTAACAGAAACTGTACCTAATTGCCTCACTATGCACCCTTAAAGACAACTAGAGGGAACAAGAGTTTAAAATTGAGCTTTAAGACCTAAAGATAACATTGCAGTTAGAAATGTACTGACATTAAAAAAAACAACCTACCAGAATACTTTACTCTAACTTTAACTCATGATGAATATTAAATACTGTAATAATGCATCAGAGTATAACATATCCCATTTAAAATCTACAACTGAACCTGGTTTTGCTATTTATGTGTGTTTGTCCGTATGTTCTTACCAGTCCCCATAGCGCCCCCTCCTGGGTGGCAACGATGGTGGCGGCACGTGGCGTGTTGTACATGAGTGCCAGCTCCCCGAAGCTGCCCTTATTGTTATACTGACCCACGCATTTTCCCATTACCACTATGTCATAAATACCCCTGCAGAGAGAGATAGAGGGAGAGAGAAAGTTAGGGAAAGACCACCAAAAATAAACAGCTAACAGGATAAACTGAAAAGAGACATAAATCCAGCACAGAAAAACAGAAGCTAGAATGACTTTGATTTACTTAATTGAAACTTAAGTCTTGTTTATTGACCTACTGACTGGTTTAAATAGACATCTAATTACAGCTTATCTGTAGCCCCTGGACAGGACCCTGTTAGTTTGGCACACTGGGCGAGCAATTCATTGACTGTTTGTGTGGGTGCACTCGTGTGTATAACAGTGTTCAAGTAGATGTTATTCATACAAGTTCTTAACTGTGACCACATGTAAAGGTGAGAGAGATTTAGCCTATCTGTGAACATCGTTTTATTATCTGCACGTACCGTATCAAAAACGTTTGTCATGTTTTTTTTTATGTTTCTGACCGACAGTAGTACTACAGCAGAGCGGCTCTGTCCCCCCCCCCCTCTCTCTGTATGAGGATTAAACCTGGGGAAGGTAATTTGCAGCGTTGTTGCTCGGCAGGATTAACCAGTCATTTTGTAAGATAGTCTGTCCTCCCATTGGCTGCATAGTGGGGCTAAAACCCTTGTCACTGGTTGAGTATTAACTTAGCCTGACTGGATTACCATGACGATGAGGACGATGATCACTTGTGTGTGTCGCCTACTTGAGCACAGCAGGGTAAGGCGATCTACACACTGTTTAAAATACCATGGTGCTAGCTCTTTGTTAAAGAAACTGAGCCGCTGTGACAGCTGTAATCACTGATACATTTCACACAACAAATGGTCTTGAGCCAAGGAGGACAGATGTAGAAGAAAAAGAAAAGATTTATTTAATGACCAATTTTACTTCTTGGTAAAACAGACAACTCAGGCATGATCAATTAATACCCTGAAGTGTTTAAGAGCCGGAGGACAAATGGATTTTCTTTCCTGCGCTCAAAGGATGTGTGCATAACAAGAATTTTCTCAGCTTAGCCGACCCTTGGGTCTGCCTTTATGGACTTTCAAACTCTTAACATAGAAGATATAACATCTCAATATTCACAAATATAAAAATATCTGTCTCAGGGGGACTGAGCTTCACTGTGATTAGTAAACAACTAAAACACTTCAGTGTTTTATTTTTTCAGTCTCTTATTGCCTTTAATGCATAGTGACAGCGGAAGAACGACAGGAAATGGGAGTCAGCTTTAGTACATCGGGCACCAGCTGTACCAGGTGAGCTATCAGGGCGCCCCGAAACGTTTCAGTGTTATTGTAAAAATGCTGGTAGTTCATTATTACCGTAATAATGTGAAGACCGGATCACGTGATGACTTTTTTTAGAAACATTAACATAAACAAATCAACTTTAAACACAGTTCAGCCATTCAGAACTGAGGACTACAATGATCCCTTTCACATCACACGTCACCCTTCCTATTATATATTTATTCCTCGTCCCTGAGGGCTTCTGAGTAATTTTCTGTTGCTTCCTGTCTTCAAGGCTTCAGAAGAAGATTGTTTAGGTCTGTTTGCGTATGTGTGCTATGTGATATGCAAACAGGAATGAAGTAGAGACATATACATATGGTTTAATTACACAATAAAAAGTTAAAATAGGAAATGTTTAAACAATGTGACTCTGGCCTGTTTTCTTTCCTGCTTTTCTTTTTTGGATTCCATTTATCCCTCCATCTCTCGGTGTGTGTCGTCGCTCACACCCCACCCTACTGGTGACATTAGCTACCACCTACGCTCTTTACAGGCCAGGGAAAACCCCGGGATAGTATATGACCAGGCAGGCGTGCTGCTCTTAAAGGTCATTGCATGTTTCTTGTCCAGGGAGCATGCTGTGTTAGAAAGTGTGTATGCAGATGGAAAGATAGCACACAACAACAAGTGGAACCGAACCACTGAGCTGAACTGATATGTGCCATGCCAGGAATGAATAGAGGCCTGGGTGGGATAAACAAGGACCAGCCACTGGCCAAACACTGGTCGGTCTGTTCTCTCTTTGTTGGCAGAGGTTAAACACCGTCATCTCGAGGTATTTTTCTACACCAAGTAATCACTTGGACAAGTGAAGTAATAGAAATGACTGTGGCTGGTCAAGAAATAAATGTTGATAGTGCAGTGCAGTCTCACAGATAATCAAAGTTGACTCCATTATTTAACGGCGGAATGAGTAGGATTTGTTTGTTGTGGTTCAAACATTCAAAGTTGGCCTCTCCTCCCCGGCTCAACGGCTCCTCTTGGATGGATGCCTATGATCTGGCACCTGGTCACTATGTTTTTAGAGTCCTGCCTTCACACCCTGCGCACTGTTATTGGCTGGGAGCTCTACACCCACTGCCCGAAGGTTGATGCCCAGAAGCATCCCAAAAACAGCTAAATAAGAAAATACAGACAGAGGCCTGGGTCTGTGCAGATACAGACACCTCCACATACTTTTAGTCATAAGTGATGACGGAGAGGCATTATTTTTGTATCAATCTATACATTGTTTTCAGGAAAATCCTACTCATGCTGCCTTTAAAAAGAATAAATTCATCATTCAAACCTACTATTGTTTTCATTTTACACACTTCAAGGACCTGGGAATGTCATTGTAGCAAATTAACACCATCGCCTACAGCTTGACGCATAATTACAGTTTTCCAGTCAAAATGTGTTATTCATCACACCAAGTGTACAAGTATACAGGGAAAACTATTTCAATGTTCCTACAACCTAACACTGTATTGTAGCCCAGGCAACAGGAAAACATGTTCTGCATACTGCCTGTGTACACAGCACCAGATGACATTAGCAATATAGCAGGGAAATAACACAGCCCCAGGTACTGTGTACATGAACACACCATCACTGTCATAAACTACGGAACACACTGTAAAGACCAGCAAAATGGCCATACTGTTGTACAGCTTTACGTTTTTTAGTGGTCCACACTATTCAAATAGTCAGATTCAACTGTATGGTATTTTGTTGAGGCTATACTTGTGTTGTTTTTATTTCAGGTGTGTCAAAAATCTTTGCTCCTCTCTGTGTATGTAAAGATGTATTCCATACAAGGCGGTCTGACAACCCCACCACAAAGTACAGCCTCAAACAAAATAACAGAGCTGAGTCAACACCCAAACGGCTGAATGGTAAAAACTATACTGGTCTTCACATAATACAAGTGATTCAATTCTGTCTAGTCAAAGATAATAAACAGATATGTATCAAACACACTAAATTGGCATACAGGCCATCATCATTGCTCACCTTTTTTTCAGTAACTGTACTCTGTCATCTCTAGCCTTTCTGTTATCTAAGTTGGCAGCATTTGAATAAACAAATATACCCAAATTTAACGACCTAACACAAATGCCTGCCTCTTACCTCTCTATGACGTAGAAGTTGTCTCCATCGTCTCCCTGGTCGATGACATGGTCCTGGGGCTGAACCCTCAGCTCAAACATGGCGTCCAGCACCTGTGAGAACTGCTCCTGGATGGGAGATGAAGGATGTTTGACACGGATGTGCAGAAACATGGTGCAACAGTGGAAATGTGTGCGGAATTTAACTAGCAGCTCAAAATGGCTTCTAGCTCATGGGAGTTCTGCTCCTGAAGGGACACCAGATTAAATTGAATTATCCCAGCGGGGGAAACTGTGTGAGAAAGTGCACAATGGAAAGAAGAGGGAACATTTCATGACACTTTCTCCATGTTTTATCAGGATATGCAATCTTAGGACAATATTGTTGTCTCTGGGGTTTGAGTCCTACATGATGTCTTAGATTTATAATCGTAAATGCCAAGTGGTTCACAATGGGAAAAGAAAAAGGTTTTTAAAAATATCCGATTCATTTTAAGTGCATCTTCTCAGCCAAAACAAACATGGATAAATCAAGTATAGTGACACAACACAGACATGTGATGTCTGGATTTATTTTTTGGAGAAGCCAAGTAGCAACAAAAATGCAGCACATAATCAAAATGTCATAACATTTGACTTTAGGTTTCTAGCCAATAAGACAAGCAGATGAAGCTGAGTAGAAATTGTATTGGTTCATAATACAACACGCAAAGATGTTTAACAAGTACTTCTTTGTCCCTTTTCTCTGCAGTTCATGTAAGGAACTGTATTTCTATCTTTAACTAAAATGTTTTTGTACAAATTTATCATCTGACCTGCCACAAGAGCAGTTGCCCTGAAGTGTGGTTCCTGAGGTTTTTTTTAATGAAACAAAGACATTTCCCTGGCTGTTGAAGCTTTAGGTTGTGGTGCTGTCATATTGCATTGCACTATTTTATAAAGGTGTTCCTCACATCTTCATATGAAGATGAGGCGTTAAAATATTAGAAGCACCTTCTGCAGGACTTTTATTTTTTTCTTCACAGCTGTACCAAATTCTACTTTTAACTGTCCCAGACATAAACATTGTCCCAAATGGAAGTGAGTAATGAATAAAGTTTAATAACTTTGTTTCATTCACTCGGATCACTTCAGAAACTCACTCTAGTCCGCCATTTCATTATTCTTTTGTCATTGGTTGAATTAGTTTTATTCAATAGAGCTATTAAAGAGAGTTATTAAATTTGTTTGCTAGATGCTTTTTTCCAAGGAGGTTTCAGAGTTGGCAACACTGGTCTCTTTCTATGATTTACGTTGGGCTTTTCTTTCATTTGTCACCCATCTGTATGTTAATAGCTCTGTGCATTGATTTGTGTGTGCACATGTCTCTTTTTTGGGTTTTTGAATTTACCTGATCTAGTGTTTTGAAGAGTAGGATGTCTCGGCAGGCCTCCTGCAGTCTGCAGCGCTGTTCATCTGTTTTTGGGTGAACCACTCTGGGCTCCGTGTCCTCGTCGTCATCGTCTGGGTTGAACGCCTCCGCACACACTGGAGGGAAGACATGGAAACTCACTTTACACTTTGTCTAATTAGAATGTAATCACACAGAGAAAACAATCCAGGTAATAAAGTTTTCTATGGCCACAAGTGTCATAAAAAATTTACTTAAATAACCATGACAAAAAAAAAGCCAGTCAACCGTTTGCAGGCAGCTCTATACTACCACTATACTTGTGGATAGGGAACAAGTAATACTAAATCTTCATTGTTGGTCTTTAACATTTATGACATTACACATACTGACAGTGTCAGTATGTGTAATGTCAGTAATGACTTTAAAAATCAACATTAGTTAGAAAAAAATGTGACAGTTGAACCATATCTTGACACAACGAGGCAAAAGATGAAAGTTTTCAACGCACACAAGCAGATGGGCAAAGAAACCACAGAGATGCTAACAGAGACACTGTATCCACTTCATCTTGGTTAAAAGTCCACACACACACACACACACAGTTTCCCCCCGCTAGAAACACTATGTGCGTGTGCGTGCGTTACAGAGGCAACATGTTAATAATGCTTATGTTATTGGCTCTGTGTGTTGTTTTTTTTCCTCTGCAGAGCATCTGCTAAAGTGGAGTGTAGATCTGAGAGAGAGGACCGTAAATGTGTATTTTTAGATGCACAAGTGCATCTGCTGGCAGCCAGGGAGAGACACATAAAAAAAAAAGTTTTGTTTTTGCTTTGTTTCTCTTTCAAATTGCTGATTTGGATGGTGGTCATAAAAATGGACGCGCACGCAGGGGCTGAGTGTCCTTCGCTTTGCAGCTGGCTCTCCCCAAAATGGCTTGCTCTGGGGGACAGTTTTTTAGGTTTTGTGTATGTAGGCCTGTGTGTGTGTGTGTGTGTGTGTGTGTGCTGCCCTCCTTTTTTTAAACATTTCAGCAGTTTTCGCTCCTCTTGCCATAAGGTGTTTCTATGACTACGTTATGTAGGCCTGTGTGAGCGGGTCAGAGGCGGGGGTCCCTGGGAGAAAAGGGCCGCATTTGGCTGATCATTTATCAATGTCAACCGCATAATGATTCTCCCTGCAGTCCCCCTATTGATGAGGATAATTACATTAGCTCAGAGTGACTGATCAATAAAGCCCAGGGAAAATGGTTTATTATAGCACCACCGAAAAGGCTTTCTTTAAGAGGGGGCTGGCTTTTTCTTTTTTCTTCTTCTTCTAAAATAAAAGGCAGGGTTGATCTGCACAATCCAAACTCCGGAAAGATAATCGAGTGAGAAGCAAAACTTCATCCGGACGCAGTTTTTCATGTTAAAATTTACATTCTGGATGTTTGTTTTTTTCAGGATTGTGTTTCTATGTTCTGTATTTTTCTTGCTCTTTTGTTGTTTATTGCTTGAAGTTAATCAAAGTTTATTTTTTCTTCTTCAAATACACTGTTTTACATCCGCCTTTATCACATGAGGAAATAGCTAAAGTCAAATAGACTTATGGGTGCATGAAGCCACGTGAATCCACGTCTTGTTTGATTTTTTAAGTCCAACTGGAAGTCACAGAAGACCCACAGGCTGCCAGCCACCTTACAGCTGATACAAATATTATGTTTCTCATTTATTTTGCCTGCATCTTGATGTTCAAATGGCAGCAACACCTGATGCAGTGTCCAAAAGTCAAGCCGGCCTTGAAGAGACAGACTTGAAAATGAAGAGTAAACACTCATGAGTCTTTTGGTCAAATACACGGAAATAAACAAAATATCTCCAAAAGACGGCCAGTAAACGCATGTCTGATATCTCTCCCTCCCCTCTGTCCCTCTCTATGTCTCCGTGTGTGTCTGTGTGTGTGTGTGTGTGTGTGTTCTTTAATTGTCAACAACTTATCCCCTGCAGGAATGTTGCAAACTCTTTCGCCTTAATTCTCCGTGGTGCTCCGCGCCAGCTCCCATTTACCGCTGATGAACGTGTCTGCAGGAGACAGCTCCATTATCTATTTATCATTTATGATAGTATTTCCTCAGACAATGGAAGAAGAAACGCGCCTACAGATAGTCCCACTGATGGCTCTTCACTGCCCTTTCACAAACGCGCACTTCCTTATTTATTCGATGGCATTTTGATAAATAGAAAATGAGGATTTTATCTTGAAGAATAAAGCTTTGGCGTGCTGGAATATTATCTAAATACGCATGATTAGGCTTGGAGTAAAACCTGATGACAGTTTATTTTATTTACTACATTTCTTCTAGATATAAAGGGGTTATTTTTAAAAGACAAATCGTGAATAAAAATCAAATAGAGGAAATGTGCTTTATTAATGTGCATTTCAGACATATTGGAGGAAGTACTGAGAGCCAATCTCTAACTAGATGGGTGATATTCAGGACTTTTTGCGCTTGGCCGCGACCTCTTGAATTAGAGGCAATTTTTCCTTCACACTTCAGCGGTGCTTGTCCTCTTAAAAATGAGTGACAGTCGCCCCCACCACCCCCACCCCCCAAGAAACACACACTCACCCAGCAAAAAATAAATCTTAATGATGTGAAAATTATAATTAGTCAAATAATATAGCTATAGGGGCTTTGGAATGCTGGAAATTGCAGTGGCCAGTGGTGGAGAAGCAGAAAAAAAAGGAGGACATGTGAGTGCAGAATAAATAAAGCGCAATAAAAAGGAAAATAGCCGGAGTTTAGTCAAGCCTTGAGGTACTCAAACCTTTATTTCAATCAGTTAAGATTTAATTAGGCAAGCCTCAGGCCCGAGCGTCTCTTTTTTTTCTCATTATGTTGCCTTCTCCAGCGCTGTGTTACAATGGCCCCGAGGTTGTCAACATTTGACCGGTTTTTCCAGTGAAATAATCACGGTTTATGGCTTGAGAACCCATAAGATTCGCAAATAAATCTGGCGTTATTCCATTATGAAGCGGAAGTCCTAACAGTGAGCGGCGAAAATATCGATTTGCCTTAATTTATGGGTTGTTGATTTTTTTTTTTTTTTTTAATATTCTTAATTTGCTTCGGTTATTTTGAGAGCTAAAAAAAAAGGGGGTTAGACATATCTTGCGGGTAGCCGAGGGCAGCAAAGTGAGACATTTCACAAGAACTGTAAATAACAGAAGAGGGCTGAGAGACAGAGAGAAAGAGAGAGAGGAGAGAGACAGCATTTTCTAAAATATGAAATTTCTCCGGGTTATTGATTAATGTGCACATTTCTATAGGCAAATCAATTAATTATTAACTTCAATATAATAGATGTTCTTTGGTTTTGAAGAGAGAGAGAGAGAGAGA